CCTCTCCTCCCCTTTTTTCAGCCTCTCTGTGGCTTCATTTGAGGCCCTGGAGGAAGCCCAGTGGCAGAGGAGGCAAGGTGCAGAGGGGGCAAGGCAGCCATCTGGGGCAAGTGGACTGGAAGTCACTCCTGGCCAGGGCCCTGGTGGCATTGGTATGGGGACAGATCTAACAGGAGCAAGTGGAGAAGCAGAGCAAAGCCTGCCTTCCTCCTCTCCCTCCTCGCCACCAGGCTCCAGCTAGGCTCGGCAACATTGCCGTGACCTTGTCCCCAGCCAAATCGCGCCTGCTACCCGCTGGCTCAGACTCTCGGTCTCTATGTGCCAGCTCTTCCCTGTTCTGCCCGGTTCCTCTCCTCTTCCACCTCAGCCCTTGCTCTCCCCTGGAGACCGGAGCAGCAGCCAAGCACCACATTTTCAATTTACACCAGCTAAATGATTCATCACCGCCTAAAGAGGCCTGAACGCAGCCCAGGAGGGAAGCTGAGCTCCAGCCAGGAGGAGGAAGAGATGAGGGCTGCAGATACAGCAGGGAGCAGCTCCGGTGACCAGAATTTCCTTGGTCGCTCTCCTGGCCATGGAAAAGCCAATCAATGCCCTCTTCTTTCTTTCTTTCTCTTTTGCATCTGTCGCTTTGCCTCTCCTGCGCCACAGAGTCAGATTTCCCCCTGTAAGGATAGGATGGGCGAGGCCTGGAAATCAATCCCTGGCCCTGGCTCCTTGCCCCTGCACAGGGAACCTGGTACAGCCAAGCAAAGCTGGGTTGCAAGCCGTCACCAGACCCCAGGGGACACTTAGGAATATCGTGCCTGAGACCTGCAGTGAGACCATTGGATGCTGATGCTCATATACAGCAGGGCACTCAAGGAAGAGGATCTGTGTGCTTGACTGGCCAGCCTCTGCCTCCGGTGACCCTTGGACAGGGCTGGGAGGTTACAGGGCCTGCTTTGCCACCAGGGGAGGTGCAGGATCTGACCATGGACTTTCAGCTCATTTCCCTTCCCTGTGCCTCAGTATTCCTATCTGTGAAATGGGGACCTCAGTTTCCTCCAAGAGCACGGGTGTTCAGCTGGTTTCATAATGATTGAATTGTGAGAGGGAAGGATGACATGTATGTGCTAGTGATGGGCAGGTGTTGCGACAGGTTTCCCTGGAGGTCTTGGGTGGGAGGATGGTGATAACACATCGAGCTGAGGCCAGAGTGACTGCAGTGGTCCAAGGTTTAGAACCAATAAGGGTGAATGATGCTGCCCTGAGGTACATGAACATCATTCCCGACCCTGTAGAGGAGCGATGTCCAGGACTTTCTAGCTTGGTTTACATACTAGCCATATGCACCTGCGCCCATTGCTGAGTCTATGGTTCCTCTCACCCCAGTGGAGTAACTCCTCCTGGCAAGAGGGCAGACGCGGGGTACACAGGAGGCAGCCCAGACCCAGCCCAGCCAGGGGAAGCACGACAAAGACGAGGGGCTTGAAGGGGGGGGGAGAATGTTTTCCTTTCTGAGCTTCCCCAAGCACTTCAAGACCCAAAGCAAATTAACCCGCTGACCCTGCTGTACAGTGCATAAATAACAGATCTCCCTATTTTACAGATGAGGAGCCAGGGGTTATATGACGCGGCCCAGGGCATGCACAGAGTTAATGGCGGTGTGGGGAACAGGACCCAGAAGCCCTGGTGTCTCATTGCTGTGGGGAGGAGGAGAGTACCTGGGGAAAAGCTTGCACACCGGGCGCCTCCTCTCTCCAAGCTGGCTGGCCTCCTCCCTGGCCAGCACTTTGCTCAGCTCCCTCCCCGCACGCTGCAGTGCAATCTTGCGCGGCCCCTGCCCCTGCCCCTCCCTCGGGGGATTTATCACCAGGTGCACTGATTGCTTGCTCCTGCTGCTGACCCTGGGAGGCTGCGGCAGCGGCGCAAGATGAAATATCTGCTGCGGCTCTGGTTCAATCACAGGGGGATGTCACGGGCTGGTCTATGCACCTGGAATCCAGATCATCCCACCGACCAAGTGGTCATCACGTCTTCTTCTTCAGTCCCTGGGATTAAATGCTTCCCCCGGAAGGAGAAATGAGTTCTCAGTCCCATGCTCACAGCAAACCTGGGTCTGTGTCCTGGGAACTCCTGCTGCTTCCTCACCCGGGAGACCTAGAGGTGTGGGGCTTTCAGCTCTGGCATCCCTTTGCGTCGCTCCCTTGCTGTACCTTCCTCTTAGACCCTTTTCACTTCCAACGATCAGCAGAAAGACATCTGAGATGCCTTTCAGTGCTGAACTGTGCTGTGCCCCTTGCCCGTCTGTCCAGAGGCTGCAGTGCTTGGCTCTTGCTTGTTAGATCAGGTATTCGTGATGTCCACTCATTGCTGTTTGTGGCGTTTGTGCAGCACCCTGGACAAAGCCATGCTAGGGCAGGGAGCTTCTCACAGCCTCCTCCTCATCACCAAACCAATGCATGGCACTGTGTGGGTCAGAGCGGGGAGCCTGGCCCCCAGCAGTCAGGTACTTCTCCGTGCACGATAATAGCCTGCTCCTGCTCCCTGCAAAAGGAAGCAGCCCTGACCTAGGGCTGTAGGGATTCATGCATTAGACCCTGAGGCAATGGGGTCAGCCCTTGGGAGAGAGGGTTGTCGAAGGTGAGGGCGACTGAGTCACACTAACATGCCCTGAATAGCCCTGAAGGGGCCCCTGAAAGCTGGGGTACCAAGGAGGATCTGTTATATTTCGTGCCTTCAGAATAAGCTGCGTGTAATTGGCACCCGCATGGGGCCAGATCCCAAAGGTGGAGGTTTTGCAGAGCTCTGGCAGTCCAAGCATCATCTCTTTAGCAAATAAAGGGTTTAAGGCTACCAGCAGCCTTCTGGGTTTCCCCTGTCCTCACCCCCCGTAACACACATTGGCCTGGAGCGCTGCAAATGAACTGCAGCCAATCTATGGCACCCACCACAGGGACCGTGGCATGAGCATGCGTTGTGATGCAGGAACCTCCTTGCTAAGCGAGCTCGTGTAATGGCCAGCAGGTCCGTGGGAAGGTATTGGCATTCATTAGTGACTGGGACAGGCCAGCTTGGAGCTGGGAACTCAGATCATATCAGCCCCGTGAGCTGGCCTGGGCCTGCATTCAGTAGTGCCATGTTATGCGAAGCACTATGCGATCAGTGAATGATGCTACTTAAACAAATCAATGAGGATAATCCACAGGGGTGCTTGATACAGAAAAGGTTGGGTCCCTAGATGCCAGCCAAGCTGGCCTCTTACTGCCATTGCAACCCTCCTGGCCTGCAACACATGCTGCTCCTCCTTCCTGGAGGAGCACCCAGACACCACAGTACAGGGCACAGCATCAGAAGATGGAGAGGGAGAATATACTGAAGCTGTGTTACATAGTGGTTGTGGTCTCACCTTTTCCAGGCCACTGGGGACTAGCAGGCGCTTGGATGCCATCTGCTTGGCAGCCCCGGGTTAGCGTTTACACACTCAGGAATCAGGCTCGGCTTGCCAAGAGCCTGTTGAGTGAGCCCAGGGCTCGAGAGACAGCAGCATCCGAGACACAGGTAAACTCAATTGACACTGTGCTTGTGATCTCAAATCAAGCCAAACCTTGGTACCTTTGGAAGGACGCAGGGGGTTCACATGGGCTCAGGGTGGCACCTGAGCCTGATCCCATGAAAAGGGTTTGCATGAAGGTCAAACCCTCTGTGCAACGGGCTTCCTGCTCATTCCTGTCTACTCCCCGGTGACTCCTGATGACCACCATAAGAAATGACACTGGTGGGCTCTATCAGGGACTGGCACAGCTTAAATGGCCTTGTGAGGAACAAGGAGTGAAACCATTGGCCTTTACAACCGAAGACCACCTCTAAATAATGGGCATCCTGTACTGCTAACCAGCACCCAAGTCTCAGACCACGAGTGAGGACATTACTGGCAGCAAAGCACTCTGCTGAGCTATATACCAGAAGGGGCTGATGTGTTTCTAGACCACAGCTGCTCTACAGAGGGGATTTTGCACATGAAAGGACTCTGGCACTCACAGCTTAATAGCAATCAAGCCTTCCCCCACCCTGGAGCTCACCCAGACCCCTGGCTCCAGAAGAGGGTTATCTCAGCTAGAGGTGGCCAGGGTTAAGGTGCTCAAGGGAAGACTCATGTTCAAGCAATGAAAAGGCTCCAGAGGGTCCAGGCCACCTGCGTTGAGGTCCTCTGCACTCACTGTCAAAGGAAGTGTGGCTCAGCCGGGGCTGCCTCCTCCATGAGCAAACCCCCCCTTGAGCGGTGACACCGGGACCCATGCAGGAGGGAAGTGATCTGCATGAGGGAAGTGGCCCCCCGGTTCCAGCTCGAAGCAACCGGCACTGAAACAGCCATGTCGATGGTAAACCTGTTATCACTAGGTTCCAGGGTTAACACCGCTCTGAGCGGAAACAAGGCAGGTCCTCCTCACAAGAGCCAGAAGCCCAACCCAGCCAAATGTGCCCATCACACCCTCACTCACGTGCAGGGGGGCCGGACCCAATGATCTGTAAGGTCCCTTCCAGCCCCTAATAACTATGAAACTCTGAAACTCTGCCACAGAAATCAACCTGTGTGGGTCAGAGGGGGACGCCTGGCCTGCGCAGCTGTCAGGTGCGCTCAAGTGATAGCTCTCCACTGGGTCCAGCTTCCTGCCCTCCTGGCAAAGGGGGCGCGTTTGCCACCCTAAAGAAACCCAAATGAAGGGGCACTGTTGCAAAGCAAATGGAGCCAGCCCCTCGGCAGCTGGCTCAGGCTCCGGAGGAGCTGCGTTCCCAAGCAGGCCTGCATCTCTGCTGCTTTTCCTCCCCGGTCATAACTCAAGGGTAGATGCACGCTTCAATGCAGGGAGCGTGCGCGGCGGGTCCCGGGGGCTGTGGCCGAGCTGCTCTGCCTGTGGCCGAGTGAGAGGCCTGAGGCAGCCCCATCCATTTACAGCTCTGCGGAGGGTGAGAAAAGCGCGTGGGGGGCGGAGGGGGCCGTGCCGGGCTGTACTCACGTGTTGTGGAGCACGCACCATCCACAGTGCGGGTCCCCCGAGCCCAGGCACTCACTGCAGGTCTTGTACTGGCCGCAGGACTCCACGGGCACCCGGGTCAGCTGTGGGAGGAAGGGGGAGAAGGCGTCAGTCTTTCTGGCGGCTCAGTGGTCCCCTTCCGCGCCGCGGGGCCACGAACCCATTCGCAAGCCTCGCAGCAGCCCTCTCCATTGGCAGGCTGGCATCCTGCCGGGGAATCTCAGCAGGCTTCCCCAGGCAAGGCGTGGAGGCAGCGCTGCTGGAAAAAACAGCTGCTTGCAGCTCTACTGACCCACATTGCAGCCTGCCGTGACCCTGGGGAAGCAGGGAGGGCTCAGTCTCTCTCAGTCCCAATCGCTCTAACAGGGGGACACAGACAGGCCAGCAGCTCCTGTTGCCCGCACACCCTGCCCAACTGCTTCCTGCACCGGGCCCTGTCAGGGCAGCACTGCATGCAGGCTCTTTGCACTGCAAAACCTGGGTAAAACCCCCCACATGTCACTGACAACCTGGATGGCAAAACTGAGCTCTAAGGGGAGCGATGTACCCACCAGTCTTATGTCCTGGTTGCACTTTCAGGAACCATTTCCAGCATCCCCCCTCCCTGCAAACCCTGGACCACCCTCCACTAGATCTAAGGGCTGTCTCAAGGCCTCTCTGCCCCTCCAGTTCGTGGTGGAAAGCTTCACTTTCCAGTTCTGTCCGAGCACAAAGCGGCGCCCAGGTGACCCTCACAAGGGACAGGATGGCACTGACCCCTCTCGTGGTGAGGCTATTTGAGCATTCGCTACAACCTCCAAGACAACTGGCCATGCTCCATTTGCTCAGCAGATAGAGGCTCGTGCTCATGTAATGGGAGTTTTTAACCAACATCATCAGCATAGGCAACATGCTTTTAGCAGCCAGTGCACCCGAGCATCAAGTCCACCGAGTGGGCTTGGGCTGTATTTCGTGGAGCATCCACCCCGCCCAGCCTACAAGCAGCACTTCCACGCACTGCTTTCATGTAACTCCTCATCTGACGTCCTGCAGGAAGAACCCAGAGCATTTCTATCCCATTTAGATAATGTAAGCCTTTGACTTTTTAAAACCAAACTTACAATCCGGACGCAATGAAAAAGCCTCTCCCACCAACTGAGCTACGGAGTGGATCTGTAATACACAATCAATCGCCTGGGCTTTCGCCCCAGCATGTCAGCCGGGCGAGTTTATTCCTTCGGATGATATAGTACGGTATTATCCTGATGAAACACCACCAAGAGTTGCCAACAATAAACTGCAGAACAGCTCCTCGTGACAGATTACAAGAGAATACACCTGAAACTCTTGGACAATTTTTAAAAAGTATATAGCATTCGAGTGGGCTTGAACAGTGAGATGACAGACTGAGATTCGTTCTGGTTGTGCTTTGAAAGGGAACAAGAATAGGCTGTTTCGTCCCCAACTTCACAAACAAAATCCTAGACTACAGAAGCACTTGCGGAAACCCTTTGCGTTCGATCACAGCCTGCTTTTTTCTCCATTTATGGGACCCAAAACCCAGAACAGAGTCTATGGAAAAGGTTGCTAATCCATATTTCATAGTCCTTCCAGGAGGCCCCTTCGCTGCCTTAGACAGAGCTGGGGTATGTTTTATTTATCTCCTTCAGCATTGCCTCTGGCAAAGCACCCAACGAATCCAGCTGTTGCCACTGGGACTTCTTAAACAACCGGCAAGTGTCAAAATGGCTGGGAAAGTTGACTTGATGAAACCTCTCATAGCTTGGCTCTGCAGGACCAGCCACAGAAATCTTGTGTGCACAGGTCACGGGGCCGAGGAAACATAGAAAATGGGAAAATGCTATAGAGAGAGTTAGGCAGACTTGTAAAAGGGTTCACAGGTCATTTCATGCAGTCCTGGATAGGGGAGGGATTGTCACTGGCCCACTGATGCCATGTCAGGCAAGAAACCATTACAGCATCTGGGCAGACCTCCCGTCTCCCAAAACGTTATCCACCCAGGCCTGCATTCAGCTCAGCACTTTGTCTTTGGCTAAGGGGCATCTTCCAGGTGGGCATCCAGCTTGCAGGTGCTTGGCCCGCTGTCAGGGGCTTCACCGTTTCTGTTAAAACCACCGGGTTTGGCGTCTCTGTGTTGTAATCCAGTTAAAGGAGTAAATTATTCAGTGACTAAGAATGCAAACCTCAAAGCAACCTGCTGTGCATTTGATCTTCCTCCACAAGTTAGATTTAGAGCCCCAGATAAAGTGCAGCTCCAGATGCAAAGCACCCCAATGCTTGCTAGGGTCTTGACCTGCTTTTCGCTGGGGAGCTGAGCAGACCCAGACTTTACCATGGGTCTGAGTTTACTTCTCATTACAAAATGAGTCTGAGCGGTGAAGTGCGGGTGATAATATCATGGGGTTGACATGCAAGGGGAGATTTGGGACAACTGCAACACCCCATTAAACCACAGCGGGAGTCTGATTGTGCTGGCCACAGGGATACTTGCTCAGAGTTGGGTTTGCCGGCACATTGTGATGAAAAATTAAACTGAAGTGCACAATCCGGTACAGGTTTGTACATGATTGCCTGGCACTGTGGCATTAGGGCACCCTTCAAGCACCCATTATATTATGCGGCAGGCCGTAGGACTGTGATTATAGCAGACATCTAGCCTTGGGCCTCGCGGCACCCATTGCCTACGTCTAGGGCACATAGGCACATGCTACTGCATTGTGCTTTGTGTCATTGCCACCACCACACACAAAGACCCAGTGTAAACTTGTGTCCAACCCTGCTGCACGGCACGTGGCTCTCCAGTACAGCCATTCACACTGGAGCAGGTTACTGCTGGTGTCTTGGGCCCTTTATGAGTTCACCTCAAGTCGCTTTATCGTGAGATTAATTAAAACTGTGTCACGCTGGTAAATGTCTTGAGCTGTAGTGTTAGACCTTCTAATTAATAAAGGAAGAGACTACAGAAAAGAAGGGAGCGCTGAGTGAAAGGAAAGCCACCTAGGGGTCGTCAGCTTCGCAGAAAAGCACAGCCAGCAAAGGAGACACATCAGAGCTCCTTTTTTCCCCCCGCAGAACCTAATCTGCAATTAACTCGGCTCAGCTTTGCAAGTTGGAAGTTTGGAGAAATGCCTGTGCCCTCCGGGAGCAATCAGCCTTTCATACTGCCCCCAAAATATGTGAAAAAGAAAAGTCCCCCTGGTCCCGCAAGTGTGATGTCTTGTCAGTGTTAATAACAGCGGAGGGGCCGGGCACTAGTCTGCTACCTCTATTATAAACCCGCTTTTGATGATTCCTTCCTTTGATGGCACCAGTAGCAGGACTGTCAAACCTGGAGTCCCTTCCCAACCTAACAAGGACCCATCTTTTATCAGGATAACAGCTGGATGGAGCATTTGGGACACGTTCTGCCTAAGGACTTGGGAGATATTAGGAGCCACGTATGTTAATCTGCTGGAAGACCTGATCAGCATCACGGTCCTACAGTGTGAGTAGAGCGGTTGCAAGCCAGATAGATAAGACAGATAAAGGGCCTGTTATCCCCATTTTGCAGATAGAGAACTGAGGCAGAGGTTAAGTGACCTGACCAAGGTCACTCAAAAACCTATAGCAGAGCTGAGAATTGAACCCAGGTCTCTATGGGCACAGACAATTAACCAGGGAGTAAAATAGGGCAGGGCTTTCCCAGGTGGCTGCTACTCCATGGGGAAAGAGGGGGAGGTTACTGCAAGCTAGTTCACACTTACCACTGAACGGGAGTGTGCACACAGCTGGTGCATGGTAACGCTCTTCCCATTTTAGCTGTACAGCAAGTGGTTGGCAAGGCCAGGCCCTAAGTAAAGCTGGCTCAAAATATTTCAGTGAAATGCAGTTCCTTCAGAAAAAATAATAATAATAAGTGAACTCAAGTGTTTCACTTGGAATATCTTGGCCCCACCAAACTTGGAGTGAAACAAAGGGCAGGGCTCCCACAGACCCAGAGACCCAGCCTCCATTACTGGGGCTGCTGAAATCCCAGCTTTTTGGGGATCCCAGCTCCAGGGCACCCTTGCTAGGCAGGCCACCACAGCTCTAGGGCCGCCCTACATCCATACTCATTGGCTCTGGAAGTGCTGGGGCAGGCTCTTGGGGTGCCTATACAAGAGCAGAGAGGCAGCTTTGACCTGCTGTAATTACAGCGTGCTGGAACAGACTCAATTAATCGAGTCTGCTGGAGCGTGGCAATTACGGTGTGCCAGCAGCCTCCCACATCTCGTGTATCCGTGTCCCCGCACTTCCAAATGGCAGTGGAAGTGCTTTATCTACAGTTTGGTCAACAAGACGGTTCATTAAAGGACATGTACAAACACCCTTGGGGTCCGTGGCTCTAGGCCGTCCTGCCACAGATGCAGTGAGGTGGAGCTCTCCTGCCCATCCACAGCTCAGGTGGGAAGCGAAGCCGGGGCCCCTGGCCACTGCTGCATGGGATGGTCACGTTTGTCCACCACCCCAGTGAAAGGACTGGGAGGTGAAGCTGGCCCTTGCTGTGGAGGTCTCCCAGTTCTCAGCCCTCTCCTTTCAACTTAAATTCCTCCAAATCAGCGGTCTGGCACTGCCGCTGGGTCAGACTCAACCACCTTACCCGCAAGCTTGCCGTTCCTCTCTGTCCAGCTCCCAGCCTCCCTTCCAGACCTCGGCTCGGTCGGCTGGCTTGGCTCCCAGCCCCATCCCGAGTATAAGCGAGCTGCACCAAGTCATTTAAAGCAGAATAATTGCGGTCTCAGATCTGAGACACAACGGCGGCTAATCCTGTTAGAAATCTGGCTTCCACCTGCGGCATCAGGCATTCACAAAGCCTCCTCTGAGGCATTCAGTCATCATTCTCTGGCTTCTAATTTTTTACCTTCTTCAACATACATTATTGCCCCCTCCCCACCCTCTGCCCCGCTAAACTGCCGGCATTCTGGTCCAAATGCGAATTATTGCTCAATCTTGGCTGTTATAATTGGATGTTAATACAGCAGTGGGATTTATTCAGGCTGATGGACTAAGTTAATTTGAATGCACAAAAAGGCATCTTAAGTAGCCAATTTCCTACCCAACAGTC